ACCCTAAACACTGTAACATCTTAACTATTTAAATGGGAGATATATCATTTCATGTTTTTTCTTGTTCATTTGTCTCTTTTGTTTTTTCTCTCTTACATGCTGCAGTTGCAAACATATTGTGGCGAGAGGAAGGTACTAATACAAATTATTGTGTTGTGTGCTATGTTTATATGTTTGTCTTTTAAGTTATTAAGTTTCTTATTGGTATTAAGTAGTTATAGTACTTATTTTTCCATTCATGTTTTCTGTTAAAACCTCATAGTATTAAAATGCCTTTATATAAGCATGCTATAATCAACAGCTTTTCAATATTTTGAGGAAAAAATACTTCTAATGGATCTGAGCAACTTTTTGTGGTTTACATTTAAGCACATTTGTGTATATTAGAGCTTTGAGGGATAGAAAAAAACCCACAGTTAAGACTGAAAACCCAGACAGGTCCTTTGCCCTTAACTTGTCCTGTTGATACTATAAATCTTTTAGGAAATCACCCTGTCTTTTGTCAGAATTCTGACCTTATAGTGTTAATCATTCTTACATCCCAAGAGTATCATCTGGTGCAGTTCCCAGAAAAAAAAAAAGAAAAATTTCAGTTTCTTGATGAGTTAGTAAGACAAACTAATTTCTCTCTCTCTCTCTCTCTTTCTCTCTCTCTTTGATATGAAGTTAGAAGGTGGAAGGGTCAAGCTAGGTTTCATGCTTTCCATTTAGATCTTGCTTCTTTATGGGAGGATTTCATGAGAACAGTATTAGGTGTTTATGGTGTCGAGATCATTGTTGACTTCAAAGGTTTACCTCCAGTGATAAATATTTATTTTACAAGGTGTGATTTCAGTGTTTCGATATGACATACCCTCTGCAACATCCAGACTCAGTTAAAAAGGGTAAAGCCAAAGTGTTACTTATGAATGTTTATTATTAACTTCAAATAGTTAACATTCATTAACATTTATAGAGGAACTTCCATATATTTCAAGAGATATAAGCTTTTTTCAATTATCTTCAATGGAAGATTCAGGGTAACAGTGAGTATCTCAGATTTTGCTATGGGATCTTGCTAGAATACGTTTTGATTAGTGAGACTTCTTATATATTTTTAAGATTTATTTTCATGTGCCCAGTGCTGCTCTAAGGCTGTCTGTCTTGGAAAAACCTGAGAACAATTCTGAGGATCCCACTGAGCTGTCTAATCTGCCCACTTGCTGAACTTGTTTGAGGCATAGTGAGGGTGGGTGGACAGAGCTTGTTTCTCAGCAGCAGTCTTGGGCCTGGCAGTGAGGCACTGTACACATTGCTTGTGAGTCACGTATGAGGGTTAAAATTCACAGGGGAAGAATGAGAATCTATTGTGAAGACTTTCAAAATTCTAGTGCTTTGGTTGCCTTTGTCTTTTTTTAGATTGCAGACATTTAAAGTCAGGCTCGATGTTGATTTCTGTCATTAGAAAATGATTGGTAATAAGGAAGAGTACTTAGTACTCACTAGCTGGCCTCTTCCCCTCCCCAGTATACAGTAGGTCCAATAAACAGCATCACCCACAAAAATCCTTTCCTCTCCTAATAATAAATAATAGACTTAGAGTATGCACAGAAATGGAACAAGATTAAAGGATTAACAGACATCTCTCATTAGCTTTGGGATGTTGGCCTGCAGAACAGGTACTAAGAAGTCGAATTAGTTTTGCTATACCCGTGGGCTGAATGGGCTGAGACAGACTCTTTTGTTTACTACTGTTGGTTAGTTCCCATTCTTCTCACAAGTGTTGGTGCCGACTAGCCTGTGACAGGAGTGATCCATAGAAGGCAACACCTTTTATTGTTGCAATAACTGATAATCTTAGGTGCATCTGCTTCTTGAAACAATTATGTGGGCTGCACAGCTACTGTAAATTGCTGGGAAAAACTAGATTGAAAGGTTCATGTAACTGTAGTCAGTTTTGAGGATGCACTGTGCTAAGCAGTGTACAAACCAAATACTGAAATTGGGGGGGGGGAGACAAAGGTGAGGGGGAGGTAAGGTGAGAAATCTAAGGAGTGGAGGAGACAGGGAAAAAGAGTGGGTTTTTAATCGATTGTGATCAGTACTCAAAGTTTGCTGCCTGCCTACCCACTACCTGTTTCAGGTCACAGCCCTAACAACTTGTGCTTTCTAAACACCCTAACTCTGTCAGGAGATGCTATTGTTTCTTCATGCAGGAGTTTGCTCTTAGCTATGGACCGGAAAGTGTAGAATGGCTGCAGGCTTTGGATAGGGTGGGTGGGATCTCAGGCTTAATTAGGTTGGAATTAAATTGAAAAATATTAAGCTGCTCTGAATTTCAGCATTACAAACCTGCAAGGAAAGGGAATTTTTTTCACTGCTGCCTTTAGGAATTATCAGGTGTGTCTACATGAGATGTTTACTGCACGGTTGATTAATTAACTGTGCAGTAAATGTCTCAGTGTGTACACATGCACAAAACTAATACACTGCATCAGGGCAGGACGTGTAAATATAAGTTCTGCCCTGCTGTGGATTTTTTTGTGTGCAACAGCAAACGTGTAGACATTGATCTGGCTGGCTGGGGCATGACGGTGCTTCAATGCAGGGGCTGCCTGCTGGTTAACCCCATGCTGAAGCACTCTCATGCACCAGCCGGCTCCTCTACACTACATTGAACCTGGTTGGAGCAGCTCTGGGCTGGCAGACTAACACCCAGGGCCTCCTGCGAGCTGGGGCTGCTATGACCCAGCTCAACGTGCTGATGTTCAGGTGCACATGTAAATTGTGTGCCCAGGAGCTTCCCAGGAACAATATATCACAGAGCAGTTTATTGCTGTATGTTAATGAGTTGTGTAGATGTGCCCATCTTGTTTGTAGTTAAAGGATTGTGTGATTATGAATGCTCAACAAAATATTATAGTGCCACTGCCAGTTAGCATCACCCTTTAGTTCTCTTTGCCCTCAATACCCTTGCTAACAGTTAATTAAGTTAAAAAGAATTGACAAGTTGAGGTCCTAGGATTGTTCAGGAGAGCGAGTTCCCAGTTTGTTTTTTTTAATGCCGACAATTTGTCATATTGCAAAGGTAGTTTTTTTTCGCAGGGTCTGTATTTTGTAAGCTATTCAAAAGCCTCCCCCTTTCTAAGTCTGGCTTTGATGGTATGTACAAGGAAAATGTATTTAAAGACAGTGTCATAACTTTTCAAATAAAAGGCAAGCAGAGTGAAATGCAGACATAAATCTATCTAAATGTGGCAAATATTTTTGCAAATAAAAAAACCCAGATAAATCTCACTTCTGAGATGACATCTTCTTCTCTCTTGTGAGTATCTTGAAAGTGCTTTCTTTGGCAAAATTAGCTAAGGTCTGTTGTAGTTATGTTCCTATATAAATAAAGAATAAGACCTAGTGGACTGATGAAACCTTTACATAGCAGCCACAGAAGAATGCTGTAATGAAGGTCTTTAGAATCATACTATCAGTAATTGAGGTTCTGCTATACAAACATATTTCCTCCATTCCGTGCAGAAATTGGGGAAAGAAGTTAGTCATTTTTGTGACACTAGAGTTTGCAAAGGGCAATGGGTTCAGAGCTTGAAAAATATTTGAGGGCCTATTCCTCCTGAAAGAGTTAATTTGGCACAAAGGCACCAGTGTGACAGGAAACCCACTTTAATTGGTTTGAGAGGTATCTGCAGGTGGGAGGATGAATTAAGAATCAAGTAGCTGCATCGCTTTGGCACTTTAGGAGTTCTCTGAAGCTCTGTGCGATGTCAAACCCTTCCTTGTTTCTCATTATAGTGAATAGATTTGGGGTAAATCTCTGCCAGGATCCACTTTGGGGGTTTTCTCCCTGTTTTTGCCTTCCCATAGGATTATCCAGAGGGAATACTTTTCTATATGAATTGACTATATTTTATATTTTATTTTCAAATTCCCTTGCCTCCCCCAGCTGGCATCTTTCTGCTACCTTTTACTCCACTGCAAATGCAGGGCCAGGGGATGGTCCTCTAAGACTTCTTACATTGTATTATTGTTTTTCATCCTTATGTTGTTTCATTTTTCATTTTCTAATGGAATAATAGTCTCATGTTGTATGCTATTCTGACGACTTTGCTTTCTGATAACAGAGGACTTTCTTGAGAACATAAAATCAAAATTCTTGTTTTAACATTATATTCTCTTAAGTCTATTCCCCAGTCCCCATGTCAGTGTCCTGCTGATATCAGTGGAAGTTTTAGACATGTTACTGAAATATATGTGAAACTCTTTATTGGCATAATTGATTTCATGCTGATTGCAAGAATATAGTGGTTTTCATCTTCGTAACAGGTTCCAAATATTAACTAATAATCATGACAAATAAAATACCAAAACAATTAACTTTGATAGATGAAAAACTGAGGTATATAGGTTAAGCTATTAGAGGAATGCTACAGTCCTGAGATTACTCATGGGGGAGAGACTGTAGAGTTCCACAAAAATTGTGACCCTTTAAACTAGGATTAAATTTCTCCTCAACTTTTGATTTGCCAGTAAAAGACTATCAAGAGCATTACCTTTTCAGTACTGAAGGAAATGTCATATATAAGGTATAACAAAGATTCAGGACTTTTTCTGTTAATGTGATATGTTAATTACTTTTAAATTATCCATGCCACAGAAAAAGAAAAGTGAGAAAATGTATGGAATTTATTTTCATTTGATTATCATGTAAAAGATTTCACATGATTTCATTCGTTAGTTCATCTGTCAAAATATGGCATATTTCCAGATCTCTGTTTGTAAAGTTGCTGTCTTGCTCACAGGGAAACATTGTAAAAACTTGAATAGCATCACACTTTGGGTTCAGCTTTGCAGTAAAAAATCCCATGGTGTTAGCTTTATTATCATCACACAGCCATTAACAAATTGATCTCATATTAGCATTAAAATGAGGGCTTTGGTTCTAAAAAATTGAGGGTTGCTTTTTTCTAATGGTTTAATTTTGTACATTTGAATGTGTTTTTGTTCCTAAGGTCTGGGAATTGGGAACATGTTTTATGTTTTTTATGAAGATGGAATCAAAGTGATACAGCCAGTAGAATGTGAATTTCAGAGGCACATTAAACCCAGTGAAAAACTCCTTGGGTTTCAGGCAAGTATTTTTTTCAAATTTATTGTGAGTGTTTTCTCAATTATCCTTTTCTTTCAAATGACAACTATCAGCTTAATGTTGGCAAGAGGTACCTCATGGATAGTCTTTGAAACCAAAGGCTTCTGCATATCCATTAAGTAGGTAATTGCATATTTTCCATTCTCTCTTTTGTTTTATTGTGATGAATTCAAACCCCTTCTGCTAGGTCAGGGATCAGCAACCTCTGGCCTGCAGGCCAGATCTGGCCCAAGAAGGTCTGACCCGGCCCAGGGTGACATGGGGGATCAGTGGCACAGACTGTGCCCTGCTGCTTGTCCCTTCTTCAGCATTTTCTTCCACAGACCCTCCCTGCCACGCTTTCATGCCTGTACTTGTTTCCAGTACAGAATCCCTTAAGCAAGAGGTGGCTTGAACTCTCTGGGGGTGGAAGTTTGCAGCCTGCAGCAGGGGGCTGGGTTGCAAGCTCCAGCTCACAGCAGCAAAAGTTTGCCAACCCCTGCCCTAGTTTGCCAACCTCAGCTCTCTTTCAGATCTGCATTTGTTCCCTTCCTTTCTCCAGGTTCTTCCTCTATTTTCTCCCATTCTTTTCCCTGAGTTAGAGAGATAGTCCAATTCCACTCTCAGTTTGACACTTTCTTTCATATTGCTCATGTGCACAATGCATCTGTTAAACATCGCTCCTATCTTTCCTTTTTGAATTCTGCTTTTCAGAAATGCTTACAGAGTTGATCTTCAAATTTCTGATGTCACTTCTCCACACGTTGTTGGTATTGTTCTGCCATGTATTTTGTTTTATTTTAAGATAAACAGTCAGTTCCTCAGGGCAAATATGAGACAGATCCGCCATGATTATCAACTTCAGGAGCTCTGTTGAAGAAAATGAAGACAGTTTTATCAGCCAGGAGTCTGTCACTATAAAATGAAGTTAGAATTGGTATAAGCAACACCAGGTCCTTTGTAGCCAATAGAGGTGTGAAATGAATTTCACCAAAATCTGTGTCTTCTGTTTCTTCTGCATATTTTAAGGGCTGGCTACATTCATTTTTCACATATATTTCTTCTTCACTTTTTCTGTTGCTACTAGAGGGATTACAAACTGATATGTTGGTATGGGCATTTGTGTGCTTGGTATCTGCTGCATTTACTTGAATATAAGATGACACTGAATATTGAGGGAACTAGGTTTATTTAGTCTGGAGAAGAGAAGACAGGGGGAAGGGGAGGGTGATTTAATAGCAGCCTTCAACTACCTGAAGGGCAGTTCCAAAGTGGATAGAGCTAAACTATTCTTAGTGGTGGCAGATGACTGAACAAGGAGCAATGGTCTCAAGTTGCAGCTAGGGAAGTTTAGGTTAGATATTAGGAATTTTTTTCTCACCAAGAGGGTAGTAAAGCACTGAAACAGATTATCCAGAGAGGTTGTAGACTCTCCATCCTTGGAGGTTTTTAAGACTTCGCTCAGCAAAGCCTTGGCTGGGATGATCTAGTTGGGGGTGGTCCTGTTTGAGCAGGAGGTTGGACTAGATTTTCTCCTGAGGTCCATTTCAACCCTCATTTTCTATGATTCTATAAGATCATCCCCCATTAATTGTATTCTATATATGGAAAATTTATAAATGTGTTATAATTTTCCAGGTATAGAATATAATTATTGTAGGTTTGCCTTGAAATTTCCCCCTCCCACTGCTACAGCAGGGAAAATAAATCTGGGGATCAGGTAGCCCCCTTCCCCTCCTCTCCTCTGCCAACTTATTCCCCCTGTTGCCCCTTCTCCTCCTCCTTACTGTCAGACACTGCTGTCTTTGAGCACATGGAAGTGAGGAGCAAATTTGAAAACACTGACCTTGAAATAAATATACCTGTAGTATCCATGGACTTAGTTCATCCAGAATTGATGCATTTTGCCTTTTTTGTGTCTACTTATTTATAGTACAAACTAGGCGCATCTACACATTGCCATACGGCTATGTAACAATGTGCTACGTCGCTGTATGGCACGCTATTGTAAAGTAGCCATCATGTGGGTCTATGGTAAAGTAGTGATCATAGTGGCGCGCTTCTCCATTTTAGTGTGCCACTGTGGCGACGTAGTGTAAAATCTAATAGTGTGCCTCAGTCACAGAGCAGTACAGATGGTTACGGCACCATGCTTTAGTACTTCCAAAAGGAAGTACTAAAGCATGGCGCTGTAGTAACATTGCCATATGGTGATGTGTAGACACTCCCACTATATATGATAATAGTCTAAAACCAAAACCAAAGGCTCATTATTTACCACATAGCTCATTGTACTAGGTCCCAGAAGAGTCAACAGTGTTTCAAGCCATGGTGATCCCACAAACCAGCACTGATCAGTATTTATGTATACTCCAGATACCCCCCACAATGTTTCCATGTACTAATTAGCACTCCATTCATGCCTGGAACCAGGTGTTCTTGTCATGAGCCTTGGGATCCTCCAAAAATGTATATGCAGATGAGGTGCAGGGGAACCTGGCCCGGCTCCATCTTATGGAAGGCAGGGCCACACTAAACATATGCAACAGGCTGAGAAAAGGGGTGACAGAGGGATTTGGGGTGAACTGTTTGAGAGGGCCTATTTGGTGATGTTTGCTAGATATTAAAGGCTGGTGAAGAAACAGGAATCATTGGAAATTGTATGCAGTGTAATGACTCACCATGACTTTAAAATAATTGCTGCTGAGGGGGACAGCATGCAGTGGTTGGTACCAAATAACTTATTCAGGTAGGCTGCACTAACTAATCCTTGTGTACCTGATAGGGGAAATACCATGACCACCAGGGCAGTATTCCTACTCACACCTGGGGATAACTGCTTTTCTGGCACATGGTAGTTCCTGTGAAGGTAATAGATAGTAAACCTCCCATTTGCTGCTCAAGTGGGAAGATCTTGGCTTTATGCCCACTACTTGAAAATGGGAAACTTCTCCCTAGGTTGCTCCTGTGGCCTTATGGCTGTAGGCAAGTGAAACTCAGGGGCGTCTGAACCCTAAGCCTTCAGGCTTGGGCCTGCACGTAGGATGCCTGCAAAATGATTTGGAAACATCTGAAGCCCTAGGTGGAGGTGAACGATGTTTGCCAGTAGTAGGGCCACTAATGGTTTTTGACTGACTCATGGATTTGGAATTGATTTGGATTGAAACATGAAATATTTTCATTAAAAAATGTAGTAGTGTGGTCACTTGACAGGTGGTTAGAGGCACAGTGATATGTGCATGTCATTCACCCTCTTGAATATGTAATATTTTTGCAAAAAAAAGATGTGGTAGGTTCCCATTAGCATGTTTGCTCAATATTGGCCATGTGTTTTATAGTCATCTTGTATTTGAGTAAATATGTTAAATTAAGGTTGATGGCCTTATCTTATGAAGCCTATTCTAAAGCTTTAATTGATAATATCTGTTTCTTATCACTTGGGCCTTTGTTATATATTACACTTTAAGCTTCTCAAATGGTGATGCGTTAGTGTTAGCTCAAGTTTAGAGTTAAACACATTCAAGCTAAAAATCTTATCTGACTGTCACAACTGTGATTTGCCACTAGAAAGCTGGTGATCTTGGACCTGAGTAGGATCTACAGTTGTGAGTTCCCACTACAGGACTGCAAGCCATGGCAGACTTCTATCTCTGCTCTAGGTGGGGGTGGGTTGGACTAGGCAGTGAAATGAATGGGAATGGGGGCTGGGGACTGGATGGTGAAATGAAGGAACTCACCCACTGAAGCCACTATCTTTTATCCTTTATCCACTAAAGGATAAAATAAAAAGAAGTAAACAACATTTAAAAGTATGAAGAGTAAGTAAATTAAAGAAATTCTTGTGTTTGAATAAGTTGGTATTGGGATTGGTAACCCCTACTCACAGGGATGCTGTTCCTGCCTCAGGAGGGAAGGTCATGGGGACCCTGATCTGGACCTCTACCTTGATCCCTCTTCCACCCCTTAGGCTTTCCTCCCTGACCAGTGTGTGCCTCTGTTAGCTGCCCAGCCAAGACATACCCCTGGGAGCAGCAGGGGGAGTTGGCTTGATGCCAGTACCACCCACTGGGCAGTAGAGTTAAGGGGGTGGAAAGTTTGTATGCACAGAACAGAAGAGTGAGCAGGAGGCACTGCATCCTGGGATGCTGGAGGACTGGAACCTAGGTGGCTTATCTCTGGGAGGAGTGGTCACACGTTCATGGAACATGAGCTGGGTAACACAGTTCAGAGAAACCTGTCCTGGGGGGGCCTAACTTTAAGATGGTTAAAGGGTGCTTAAAACTAGTTCAAACTTCTTAATGTGTGGTCCATCTAGTGGTTAACAACTCTCCGAGCCTCCTAAAATGAATGTGTAACGTAACCCCTTAGACTCTATGTAGTCACCTTGAGGGAAAAAGCACATTCTAACAAATAATATATTATTATAAATAATAAATAATAATAACAAAAGTATGTTTGCGTAAAAACAAAACTGTCTTGGAGGATTTTGCCTCTTTAGCTATCATTATAAATATCAAAGGCTGCAACACTCAACAGCAAGACATATTTTAGCATGGATAATTATGCTGAGCAGCTAATCATGCCTTGATTTGTGCTGCTTAAGTGAAATTAGGTTGACACAGACAAAAATAAGCCAGAGACCTTTCTTTATGGATGGGTAATTCAAAAGCTGATTATTTAAGAAGTCAATTAAATTTTATTAGGTTAAAAAGAAAATGAGAACAGCATATATTTTATATTGTCTTATATTTTCTTTGAGAATGTAGTGATAATCTGAAGGAACCATAAATAAGTTGAATGATAAAAATAGGGGGGGAAATGATTTCCCTTGTTTAGCCTTCTATAAAGTAAGCAAAAGAGGAGGTAAGAAAGTGACTTTTTCATTTTTCTTTGTTAAAGTAGAAATGAACTTGGGTTACCTGCAGGATATAGAATGTATCTTGTGTGTAGAGTCAGAAGGTATCATTGATACATCACAAAAAGATTGGAAATGTTGCCTTTGG